CGAGATGCAGCTCCATGGTAATTGATTGCTTGGACACCTGCAATGGTTAGTCTTCCAAATAGCAAAATATGGACTTTATTTGAAATGAAATGTCATGAGAATGCTATATCATTTACTTTATTTCATAGATACTAACGGTCAGAATTAAGGTTTACTGACCGTCACAGGTAGCTTTTTCAAGCCGACAAAAGCTCCAAAAGCCGTACTTTGTACTAAAAGCAAAGAAACTCCCCCAGAACATTTTCATGGGCTTTTCTAGTCAACTTCTCTAGAAAGTGCTTTTGAAAAAGCTACAGCTCCCCAAATAGGGTTGTAATGTAGAAATCCCTGAAAAAGTGTTAGTGACATGATGTATATTATATAATGTCACACACCAAAATGTTTAATTTTGGGATGTGATTAATGAACACAAATAAAGGAAAATGATTTTATTAAAATTTAAAAAATTTCAAACCTTTAGCGTGTTGCTTGGAACTTATTTCAGTGACAAAATTATTTTCTAAAGTAAATTGACGAATCATAGGTCATATAAATGATTGAAGGATTCATGCTGCTTCACTTTTATTTTTGCTTGCTTATTAGAAGTAATATTTGTTTGTTTTATTTAAGATAATATATGCGCAGAACTATTAATAGGTGCTTTTTTCTTTCTTTCTTTGTTTGCCGCAGTGCACCATGCTCACCTTGCTCATGGGCCGTCGTGCCCCAAATCCCAATAGCCAACAGCCTGAAAAGCCCCATGACCTCCCCTTGTTTCACTGCCAGAGGGCCCGAGAAGCAGCAGAGTTGGCCAAAAGTCGGAATCTACACAGGCGGCAGGCCAACACAGACGAGCTTGACGCCGCCAATTATAGAGAGCAAACCGCTGCACATGAGTCGCCCTTTATCTGCATCGATTTGCATAGCCGACAATAGCCGTGCCCTTATCGTGGATCAAGCCGCCGCCGCCTGCTCCACCTCCACCGTTGCCCTTGATTTTCTCGGCTGTCGAGAGCCTTTTCCGTTCGTCACTGCAAACAACACCGAAGCGTCTCCCTTTGTCATGTGTTTGGTTTGAGGAACGGGTAATCCATCTTATTCTCATTCTTTATTTTTTTATTAGTTTATAGAATAGAATGAGTTATCGATCATCACTCCATCCATCACAAACTAACCATTAGTATATGGCTCTGTTCGTTTCTCTTATAATCCGTACTTTTCAGCTTATTTTTTTAGTCGAAACCGTGTTTTTCTCTCACAACAAATCAGCCGGAACAATGTTTCGGCTTGTTTTTTCAGCGAAGCGAACGGGACCTATATGCTTGAGAAATGGATTGACTCCACTAAAATTAACTCATGATACATCATCTCACGAAAGTACGAGGCGACTCCACGAACCAAATTACACACCTGTTTATACTGCCGACAAAATCAGGTAAGGCCCCTGCATGTTCATCTGTCCTATGTTATCCAAGCGCAGGTGCCCGTCACCGGCCACCATCTGCAGCTGCCTGATTCGTGTCCTCCGTCCGCTTGTGCATGCTCCCCTACTGAAGGAAAGCTGTGGCCGAGTATAGGACACGGAGCATCCAGCCGCTGGTAATATGAATTAACAGAGAGAGACTACGATTGAAAAGGTGCACCTTTAATCCCTTATTTTTTTATCAAATAAATACTCCTTTTTTTTTTATAAAGACACTCAGAAAAATGTCTCACATTTGATATATATATATATATATATATATATATATATATATATATATATATATATATATATATATATATATATGTCATGCTTGTGCAATAATTGAGCCTTTGATTTTATCTCTAAAATTCCATTTATTCCAACATTGCCATATCTCAGGTAGCACCTCTTAAGTTTTTTTTCTCTTTTTATAATACCATTCAAGCCTTTAATTATGTTTGACTCCTCTATATTTTTTTATCTATATCCTTGAATAAATGAATTCTATTCATGTCAGCCCAATAAATAGTATGTTGACTACTACAAATTTAAATTAATGCTATTTCAATATTTCACTTACGGTGTAGTATATAATTAACATTATTCCTATACAAATTTAAATTAATGCTATTTCAATATTTCACTTACGGTATAGTATATAATTAACATTATTCCTATTCCATTATACAGTAAAATGAAATTGAATTATTAAAATAAATCGTTTTGTGAGTGGTACATATTACTATTGTTTATCCTTTTTCACCATCTCACTTAGAATATACCGCACATGCGTCTCCTTGGTAGTTTCATATATAATTAAAATGTTCACATCTTTTAATTCATAACTCCGTTTTCAGCTATCTAATGCACACCAGATGCAAAGACGCACAAAGCTTGATTATTTGTTTGATTACAGATTGTCTGATTGGCTTAATGACTTGATTTTGTGCTACATTGAGAAGGAGTTTTTTAGAGGGCTTGATCCTAAGAAAATTAAGAAGACTTTCCAATCCATAAATGATAGGAGAGATGAGTTTACCACCATCAAAGCGGCCTAGATGTTGTTAGTGTTTTAGGAAAGGTATGTCTAGATGTCCTTTTTACATTCTTCAATACTTTTATGATCAATATCATTTTCTAATTGACTTGTCTTAAAATTGACAGGTTTTGTACTTCATTACTCTATTGAAACATTTATTACTGATAATTCTATTATTAAAAGGTAACATCTTGATTCTCGTTGGTTGTTCTACATTTTTTGCCGTAAAAATGCATGTTGTCGTTGGTAGCCAAAAATTTATAGTACAAGTCCACCCTAGGTCATTTCGCTGGCTGGATTCGCCACTGAGTGTTATTGTATTATTCGGCCTATTGGTTGTGTTTCTTTTTTGTTATTCGTTTACGATTATTTCTGCATGGAATGTGCGATCATAATTTCAGAAACCTATGTTTGTGATCTTTTGGAGTTTGCTGATAGCTCATTACACCAATATAGTTGCACTGATTTTCTTCAGTTTAGAACTACGATTACATTATTGAATTATTCACGTTGTTGTTAAGCCCATCTATTTTTAGGCAAACACCTTGAACTGATTCCTTTCCTTTAATTGATCATAGAATTGCCTAAGCATTTATATTTTTAACATTGGCAGCACGCCCAGTTTTGTACTGTACCAAATGGTAGGCAACACACCTCATACTATGGTTCCCCTCCACCCCATGATTTAAAACTCGATTCTTTCAGATTTCATGTGCTGTTACACCATATACCTGAGTTAAATGTTCCATAATCATGTACGAAAACTTATTTCTGATACTATTTTTAACAAAGCCCACCAAAATGTTCCTCAGCTAAACACCAACAAGTCACCTAATGTAAATTCTCAAGGACAAATATTAGCATCAGGTTATGTCTAAGGGGCTTCCACGGTGATCAAAAGTGCGCTGAAAAATAAATAGCATTTCCTCATATTTATAAACCTCTAAATTACTCTACTACGTTTGGAACTCGACACCTTTTCACTGCCGACAGGAACAGGACCATGCCATCAAACTAAAGGATACGTAGACGCTGCAACCATGCTTACATATAGTCAATTATCAAGGTGCTCACAAAGCTAAGAGTATACCTTTTTACATCAAAGGTTCGCTTTCTCATTTTAATGAACTGCTGTTAACCTTTTCCGGTGTGTGTATATTTCTTGTGCTCTATCAGATTTAAATTATACTAAAGTGATAATTCTATAGGCTCTTAAATGTCTACATTTCCAGCCGGTTCGTTCTTGGGTTCGAATCGGCAAGTCTGCCTCCATTTGCTGTAGCATGAGTTGATATATGGATTCACCTATTGGCCCTGTTCGCTTCGCTGAAAAAAAGGCGAAATACTGTTCCGGCGGATTTATTGTGAGAGAAAAACACTGTTCCGGTTGAAAAAATAAGCTAAAAAATACGGATTATAAGAGAAGCGAACAGGGCCATTATGCCTGGTCTATGTGACTGTTCCTGTAATTATGTTTTGCTCTATTTTTTTATGTGTGCTCAGGTTGTGGTGAACCTCCTTCCATTATAGAACAAGAGGCTGCAGCTATATATATGTTCACTTTTGCTAGAACAGACCTTATGAACTTGTGGTGCCGGAGCTGGTAAGAAGAGCTCACTGGTGGTTAGTATTTGTACTCAGTATATGTCATGCTCCTTTTCTATTTAAAAGAAATGGTTGGCTTTGGCATACTAAAAGACTGGACATTGCAATTTCTCTTTTTGACCTACTAAAAGAGTTGACTGATGGTTAGTATTTCTGAATAGAGCTCAAGGTACAAAAAATATTCAGGATATAAACATGGCATAAATAATCAGTCCAAAAAGTTCTTGGATTGCTTCAGCTTATGTCTTCCACTATGTACTCTTCTACAAGCGATTTTACTTTCCGTCAATTGCCTCATTATCTGCTCCTGCACCTATTTGCTTATTATCATACTTTATTCTAGCTCAGGAATTAATTGCATGCCATGCTGTTTTTCACTCTGCAGGATGCGCTTGGAAATGAAGCATGATTGAATGATGTGGCATTCTCTGGTTGCTATATCTTGAGGCCATGGGCAATACATATTTGTGAATTATACTAAATGTAAGAGCTTATCTTCAAGCCGTAGGCAGTGCATATTTGAGAATTATACTAAATGTAAGAGTTTCTCATGGCCAGTTACATCTCAATTGATGATTATTTTTAGGCAATTTTTGACGTGGGACATCACGAAAATAACAAATTGGCTGCAACACACCGCCAACACTTGCTTTTGCTGAGTACCATTATGAAATCGCGAATGTTTGCCAGTGGACACCGCCTCCATTAAAATAAAGAAAAATAGCCATCGGGTGAGAGAAAGCACAGTAAAGAGACGTTTTTACTCCTGCCGGCTTGAGTCCTATCATTTAGGTGGTCCGGTTGGACCAGCTCGGCTCGGCCCCGGTCGTCTTCTTCCTTCCCCCGTTCTCGTTCTCGTCAGTCTCTCTCCCCATCCTCATTCCCCATCTCGACGAACCCTAGCTTCGAGCCATGGCATCGAGCTCGCATTCCACACCGTTCGGCGCGCCGCACCCAGCTTCGCCGTCGCTCGACCCCTACAGAGACCAAGCTGGATTCTTGCCCTTGGTTCCTTGCCACAAGTGCGGAACCGTTTTCATCGGGCGCGTGTCGCAGAAGCCTGGCAGCAAGGGGAAGAGGTTTTACAAGTGTCCACTGCTTGAGCATGTAAGTGGTCGTTGACTTCTGATCTGGTTTTGAGGAGATGCGCATTTTTTTGATTTTTCATCTCTTGTTTGCCAGATCGACTTTGCGTGTGGAGTGTACTACTTTGAGGAACAATATATCAATTACTTGGTCGCCAAAGGCATTCTTCCTCGTGCTTGTAGTCAGGTTCGAGTTCAGGGCGCTCGAGGTGATGAGGGAAGGCAATGACAAGGAGAAGGCCTGCCAAGGATTTGATGGCTGCCAAGATCTGTTGGAGACTGCAGTGATTCATCTCCAAGGTTCAGAGGCACTACTGAAGTCAATACTTGAGAGCAACAAGAAATTGTTGACCAACATGAATAAAATTGGAGAGCGGCTGCTTGTAGTTGGTGGTGTAATGGTTTTCGTTTTGGTGTTAGTTCTGTTAGTGTTGTTGGTCAAGTGAAGCAGAACAACAGGTTGTCATGTATCCTGGTTATCATGTATCCAGTTAGTGTTGTTGGTCATGGTCATGAACATGTATCCAGTTAGTGTTGTTGGTCATGAACATGTATCCAGCTTATCTGTACCTTGTTTGAAATCAATGATGCATCTTAACTATGTTGCAAGAAAATGGTCTGCCAAATTGTATCTGAGTTCATGAATGATGGGGCAAGAAAATGGTGTGCCAAATTGTTGCAAAAACATGCATCCAGGTTTAATTGGATCACTTCACACAACAAAGTCTGCCAACTGAGTTCATGATTGAGATTGCATAACTGAGTTCACAGGTTCATCACACTACATAACATGTTTAGCACACTACATAACAAGTTCATAGGTCCATCATCACCACCAAATAAGTTCACTACATAACAGGTTCATCACACTACATAACAGGTTCATCACACTACATAACAGGTTCACCACAAAATAGATCCATTACATAAGACATGCATCACAGGTCCAGGATGAACTTCTCATTCCTAATCCAACTGTTGAAGGTCTCTGCTATGTTGTTAGTAACATAGTCATATTTGCTTGCATGAGAGAACTTCCATCTACTCCATATGTGCTTGTGGTTGTCCTCTATCCAGTTCATTGCCTTTGGTGAAGCTTGCTTCATGATGTTGTAATGGTGATCAAAGTGCCTCTGGTTGTAAGCTCTGCTTGCTGGCCACAAATGTTTCTTGAACACTACTCCTCTATACCTCTTGTTAAAATTCTTCACTAAATGCCTCATGCACTCTCTATGCTATACTCCATTTGGAAAAACATATGTAACTCCCTTATCTATTCCTTTGCTTGCATCTGTGCATATGACCAGGCCTGGAGGAATACCAATTGCCACTTTAAGTTTCTCAAAAAAGCATTTCCAATTTTCAGCAGTTTCAGACTCAAAGACACCATATGCCACTAGAAAAGCCAGTTGTGTACATCCACAGCTGAAGTAGAAGCTAACTACCCTCTCCACCTCCCAGTCAACTGTTGAGTCAACACCTAAGAAGGGTCTGCATCCATTCAAAAAACCTTGAACACAGCTCTTAAATGCAACAAACATCCTTGTGAACCTCCTCTTATTACCAGCCAGTATCCACTCAATGTCCACAATGCTACCAGGATTTGTCCTGTCCACCTCAGCCTTGAATCTAAAAACATCTTCAAAGCTGTCATCCCATTTTCCTTGAATTTGCTCTAGAGTCATTTGCAGTCCGTCCCAGACAACATATTATGAAAGTTGGATGTTGTACTTGTTCTGCAAATCCTTCCTCAGTTTACCAGCTTGAATTGTTGGTTCATCCTTCAGGATGGTAATGGCCCTGTCCCTCACCCAGGCATTGGTAGCCATGTAGTTCTTCTCCAGTTGGGATGTGCTGGCACAAGTATATTTTCCCAACTTCTTTATCTGACAAATAAAAGGAAGGCAAAGCATCAAACACATGTTTGGAAAAATAAGAACCAAAATGTAAGGAAATTTAAAAAAGAAATAAACTGACCTGCCAAGTCTTGCCATCTTGCAATTGAGAAACATGTATCCTCCACTTGCACCTCTTCTTCTTGCTCTTGAATCCTTTGCAGTGCCCTCTATACCTTTTGGATTTACCGTAAGGAGCTGCAATTTCAAACTCTTTTAGCACAGCATATTGTCTAATAGCCCTCTTAAATGTGTCTCCATCCTCAAATATGACACCACATTCTATAGTTGGGTTTTCTAAGTTAGTAACATGCTCATTGATCTCACAACCAGCATCATCATCAACAGACAAATCATCATGAACAAGAGAGTCAGAGTCAGTATCCCCCTCTGATGCTTGTTGATCTTGCTGTTTTGGCATATAATGGCCCTCATCATTGACCCCAACATACTCCTCAACATCTTCTTCCCATGAAACATCATTATCAGCATGCTTCTTCTTGCTTCTTCCTTGAGCAGGTGTGGATTTCTCAGCTGAGTCATCAGAGTTAGAAGAGTGAACACTGTCATCATCACTTTCTCCCCCACTAAGTGACTTCACATCGGCCTCACCTCCACCAGGCCCAACAGTTTCAACAATCTGATTGTTCTGCCCATCATCATGACCAAGCAGAGGGGGCAGCAATGGGAGAGCAACAGATGCACTGGCCTCATTATCCAAAGACACACTCTGACTATATGCAATAGAAATCATGTCATAAAAATTCACAAACAAAGATAGCCGCCTTAGGTACCAATAATTGTTAGTAGCATCCATCAAAGCTGCATCTGAGGTCAGATTGGTATAGCATTGGGTGTTCTTGTCGAAATATGTCAAATTGAAGCCCTGATTCTTCCTAATAGACACTTTGGCAGCTACATCCTTACTTAAATCAATCAGATTCAGAGTGTCCCTATCAACAATGAGTTGAAAATCTGCTGCATTGTGAGCCACATTTCTACCGTCATCACAAGCCTCATAGTAACATGGGACACGCACTGCTATGCGTAATGCAGAACTACTGTCCATCCTAAAAAATGGACAAGAACAAGAAATCATGAAAACCCTAGCTTCGGATGCACAAATCGACCCCCAAGTTCACTGCAACCCTGTTAACCAACCCCATATCGAAAAGTGGAAGAGGATAAGAGTGCATACCCTCAGAACCCATGATGATTCACTCCCTTGGGACGGTGAATCTATCAAAGCGGAGCCGCCGATTTCACCGCGAAGCCATCTTCATGCATCCATGGCACGCCGATTGTGGGGAAGAGGCGGCGGTGTGGGCGGCGAGGAGAATGGCGTGGTTGGTTGAGAGAATGCGGCTGACATGGAGACCTGAGAGGCGGCGGCGTGGGTGGTGGAGACAACAAGGCCAGGGAGACTGAGAGCAGCGTGCTGGAGATCGGAGACGCCGCCGGCTAGGGTTGGATAGAGCACAGGGTCTGGTTCGACCAAGTAGTGGTCCGGCTCGACCAACAGGGTCTGGTTCGACCAAGGGGCAACGCTGGTCATTTTGGAATGTTTCTCTCTCCCGATTGCTGTTTTTCTTATTTTAATAGAGGCGGTGTCCACTGGCAAACATTCGCGATTTCATAATGGTACTCAGCAAAAGCAAGTGTTGGCGGTGTGTTGCAGTCAATTTGTTGTTTTCGCGATGTCCCACAGCAAAAATTGCCTTATTTTTAATAATTTGTTGTCTACAGTTTAGGTGTGCTTTGCTAGCCATTCCAAGTATTTATATTGCAAAAAAAGTCAGCCTTTGTGTCTATCAACTGAATATGGGTGTTATTTTTATTGATATCATTTGATCCATTCTACTTTCTGTTGCGGGTCTATTATGGAAATATACTGCTCATTATTCCTAGAGTTTTTTTTCCTTGCAAACAAAAACTATGATGCCTGTTTTTGCAAGGGTAGTTGGAATTTGGAGCTCCATGATACTTAGCAATAGTTCTGTCCTCCTTTTCCTTCTGATTTTTATTTTGCTTGGTGTTTGAAAGGGTTCAGAATTGAAAGCAACATAGTGCTTCTTGTTAGTTTTTTTAATATTTCAGTTAATAAAATGCACACACCAGAAACATATTGCTGGAGATTGGACCAAGCAGTTTGGATTGATGGGTGTGCTCTCCTATTTTTGCCTTGCTTCAGTTGGAGGTTCTGACCTGGGTGCATTGGTTGGTTCCAAGGTTGTATCTTCTTGGATCCTTGTTCCTGCCAATTTCTATGGTGTTTATTTTAATTCTATTAACCTTGTCTCCATCCTTTGCAGCAATGGTGTCTTAGAGTTGGCGCCATGATGCTTACCGGCGTGCTGCGCTGTAGCACCGGGTCAACGGGGGACGACCTCTCTTGGGCGAGCGAGGTGTGGTGCCTCACCATCAAACAGGTACGACCTACACCCACCCTTTCAATTCCTTCTGCCATTGCTCTGCTTGCTTCGTTGTCAGTATATGTGCCTGCTAAATGAAGCTTCGCTGCTTGGGTGACAAGTTGATGCCATCTGTCAGGATTGGGCAGCCAATTCTTGACAAATTGATAAACTGCCATTGATTTCTGGAGCTGGTTTTTGCTCCGATTGAAATCTAGGGATTTGAGTTAGCTCCAGTATGCAGCACACTTGATGTGGAATAGGATATTACTGAATTTAGCTTTTGTCATGTCTTACATTTTAATGACTAAAGCAATCAAACAGACAGTTACTACTTGAAATATGAAACATTTGTATGCAAGCTATGGGAGATGGGAACTGAGTGGAATTTTTTAGCACTTTGCTAGCTTCACCGATCAAGTGCCATTTTCATGCTACTGACCATAGATTAAAGCTGCAGATGTTGTGGCTTTTTAGGTTAATCTACAGTACTACGTAGGGGCATGTCTCCTACCTTACTGGAAGGACGAAAAAGATGTCTTTTTCGTTTCTTGCTATCAGATTACATGTAGTGCCAGGGCATGGTCTTAAAAAAAGATTACATGGTAGTTGCATGGGCTTAATCACACATCAAGAAATGTAGACTATAAGACTTTGACGGAAAAAAACATGTCAATGAGATAAAAAATTGGAGTTCACTGATGAGCTTTAATTTTTGCTTCCGAATTTACATTAACACCTACAAAGAAATTTGTCGAGTTTGAGGTTTTCCATATAGCGTAACTGATAGGAACCATACATTTCCTTTTACAGGTGCATCTACAAAGGCACTTACGACAATTATATGGGACTTCAATATGGGTTCACAGTGGTGATTTTTAAGGCTCTGTTAAGGGCTCAAAATCATCCCTGCACTTTGTAAATCGCAGCCACCTCCTAAGGTAGACCGTAAACTACCAATGCCACTGCCATATGCCTGCACCTTTGTACTTTAACAATTCTGTAAATATATCAGCCTATTCGGGTATCGTATCGTGGATTATTTACTGCTGGCTAGTTTGGTGTGAGAGAAAAACACTGTTCACAACTAGAAATTTACGACCATTTACGAGCGAGCGAACAGACTATATATCAGTGAAGGCACCTTAGCTACGTAAATGACCGTGCCTACGATATGTGCATCATACACTTATTATTCTGACCATAGTCCTTTATCCTCGCGCGCGAGGACGCCCGCCCTTTACTGGTGGAGAGAATTTTTTATTCCAATTTTCATTTCCTACTCCACTGTCGTCGGTTTTTTTTTTTCATATACAAGAATGAAACGATACCAAACTTCCTTCCTCTCCTTCCGCTTCTCCAACCCCGCACGCGACGAGCACGATTAACACGATGAAAATGGTCCCCACCCGCCCCCATCTGCGTCACTTCCACGTGGTCCCCACACCTCGGGACGGCCCATACACGACGGCTCCGCTTTAAGTCCAATGCACTCCTCCAGAAGGCTCCAGAACGTTGGCTGCCATGTGGGCCGTGCACCGTCCCAGGTCCCGCGAGTCAGTGACGTACCCGGTGACGCGGCCAACAGAATCCCAAACCCCCTCTGCAAGAAAGAAGCTATTCCTCAGGAAGGAAAGCTAGTCCCCCCTCCTCGTGTCCTCCGCATCTCGCATCCTCGCCGGTGCTGCTGCAATTAACGCCACCCCCGGCCAACCACCTGAAACCTACCTCCGCCGCCGTCGTCGCCACCGCAAACATGGCGAGCCAAGGGGAGCCCTCGGCGTCCGCTTCCGATCCGTAAGATTTCGCTCCCTCCCCCACCGATCCGATCTGGTTGAGCCCTAGGGTTGAGGGTTCCCGGACCCGATCTGGGTTTTTTTTTGTTGTCAATGTGTCGGTGGTGGATTCGTTTGGTACTGGGTTTTTTTTGTTGTCAATGTTTCGGTGGTGGATTCGTTTGGTAATGGTTTTCCGGTGATGGCTTGTGCAGGAAGGAGAAGAAGGACTACTCGACGGCGATCCTGGAGAGGAAAAAATCTCCGAACCGCCTTGTCGTCGATGAGGCCACCAACGACGATAACTCCGTCGTCGCACTGCACCCTGACACCATGGAGAGGCTGCAGCTCTTCCGCGGCGATACCGTGCTCCTCAAGGTCTGATATGGCTAATCTGAGCTTGTTGCAGCAGTTTTTGGGATGTAGAGCTGATTTTGCAGATTGTATTATCACGTGACCGATCTGTGTTTGACCGACCCAAATATGGTGTATTCGGAATGCAGATCTGTTAGAAGTACTTGCTGAAGTGAAAAATGTTGTAATTTGTTGTATTGTTTGGGAATTTGAGTATGCTGAGGGTATTTGGGTCCCTCTGTTTTGCTGCTGTAGTGTGTAAATTTTAGAATTTTGCCGATTTGCATTCGTACACCATTGATTCAGTTGAAGGTAATAGTAATCTAGATTTCTTTTATTGCTTCAGTAACGAATTTTAATATACTTGGTTTGTTATGTTCAAATATTCTCCTCATACATCTGTTCTAGATTTAAATGCAACCACTCTTTTTGCACTAATATCTCATTGGTCATCGTTAAAACAGGGAATCAACACTATTCAGTATTATTGAGATTTGTGTTCATTGTTCTGTTAGATGGAGATGATGTGCTGCATACAGAATTGTTATTTTGTGATTCCTAGCATGATAATTCGGATGTGATGCCTGTACTTGTAACTCTAGTGTACATGGAACTGAGCAATTGGATATGTATTGGCCTATATCTTTTTTAAGTCTCTTTATTATGGCCCAGCCCGCTATGGATCTATTTCTCACCTTATGTTTTGTGTTATAGGGTAAGAAGAGGAAAGACACTATTTGCATTGTCCTTGCGGATGAAACCTGTGAGGAGCCAAAGGTTCGGATGAACAAGGTTGTCCGCCAGAACCTGAGGGTGAGGCTTGGTGATGTGGTTTCTGTCCACCAGTGCCAGGATGTAAAATACGGGAAGCGTGTGCACATTCTTCCAATTGATGATACAGTTGAAGGCATTACAGGGAACTTGTTTGATGCCTTCTTGAAACGTGAGTTTTGTGATCTTGTGAATTTTTTAGCTGATCATTTTTGCATTAGCAAGGCTCCATGATACTTAATTTACATGTTACTTGAACAGTATTGTTCTCTTTTCTTTTGTCAATGGTTTACTTAGTTCTGAGCAGGGAGGAGTCTGGCATTTATACTCGCTATAACTAATATATACTTGTATATTGTTTTTGCCATGTCATGCTAGACCTTATCGCTGTTCTGTCATTTTCTAATAACATCCCTTATGAAACTGTGCAGCATACTTCCTGGAAGCATACAGGCCCGCGAGGAAAGGAGACCTTTTCCTTGTCAGGGGTGGAATGAGAAGTGTGGAATTCAAAGTTATAGAGACTGATCCTGCTGAATATTGTATCGTTGCGCCAGATACTGAAATATTTTGTGATGGGGAGCCTATTAAGAGGGAGGATGAGGAGCGTCTTGATGAAGTTGGTTATGATGATGTTGGTGGAGTTAGAAAACAAATGGCCCAAATCAGAGAGCTTGTCGAGCTTCCACTACGCCATCCTCAGCTTTTCAAATCTATTGGTGTGAAGCCACCAAAGGGCATATTGCTGTATGGGCCACCTGGTTCTGGAAAGACTCTTATTGCTCGTGCTGTTGCAAATGAGACTGGAGCCTTTTTCTTTCTGATCAATGGCCCAGAGATTATGTCGAAGCTAGCAGGAGAGAGTGAGAGCAATCTCCGAAAGGCATTTGAAGAAGCGGAGAAGAATGCTCCATCTATCATTTTCATTGATGAAATTGATTCCATTGCACCCAAGAGAGAGAAGACCAATGGAGAAGTAGAGCGTCGTATTGTTTCACAGCTACTGACTCTTATGGATGGACTCAAATCTCGTTCCCATGTTATTGTTATGGGTGCTACAAACAGACCAAACAGCATTGATCCGGCTCTTCGAAGATTTGGAAGGTTTGACAGGGAAATTGACATTGGAGTTCCTGATGAAGTTGGCCGGCTTGAGGTTCTCCGCATTCACACTAAGAACATGAAACTAGCTGAAGATGTAAGTGACCATAATTTATTCTTGATCCATTGCAGTTGACACTGATTATGAATATGATTTCTGTCTTCTCTTCTAGCATGTCTTGATGTCCATTCTCTGAAATTTCCAGGTTAATTTGGAACTCATTTCAAAGGATACCCATGGATACGTTGGTGCTGATCTTGCTGCCCTTTGCACTGAGGCTGCTCTTCAGTGCATTCGTGAGAAGATGGACATCATAGATCTTGAGGATGAGACAATAGATGCAGAGATATTGAACTCGATGGCTGTTACAAATGACCATTTCAAGACTGCGCTTGGAACAAGCAACCCATCTGCTCTCCGTGAAACTGTGAGTACCTGCCTATAATCATCTGTGTGAGCTGCTCTTGTTCTGGGATGCTTAATTTTTTTTCTGGATTCAGGTTGTTGAAGTCCCAAATGTCTCTTGGGAGGATATTGGTGGGCTGGAGAATGTCAAGAGGGAGCTCCAGGAGGTAATTAGATGCTAATTGACCTTCTGCTCTATGGTATTGTTTATGTTCCACAATTTGCTAATTTCTTTCAAAATTGATGCAGACTGTTCAATATCCTGTGGAGCATCCGGAGAAGTTTGAGAAGTTTGGTATGTCTCCATCCAAAGGAGTTCTGTTCTATGGTCCTCCTGGTTGCGGTAAGACCTTGTTGGCAAAGGCAATTGCCAATGAGTGCCAGGCTAACTTCATCAGTATCAAGGGTCCTGAGTTGCTTACCATGTGGTTTGGTGAGAGTGAAGCCAACGTCCGTGAAATTTTCGACAAGGCTCGCCAATCTGCTCCTTGTGTCCTCTTCTTTGATGAGCTTGACTCGATTGCTACTCAGGTCTGTACACGTCTCACCTTGGCTCTTTATTATTTTTTGTGTCATGTTTTATGTCTTACAGATGTTAGTGCGATGTTGCAGAGAGGAAGCAGTGTGGGTGATGCTGGAGGTGCAGCTGATAGAGTGCTTAATCAGCTATTGACAGAGATGGATGGCATGAATGCCAAGAAAACTGTGTTTATTATTGGGGCTACAAACAGGCCTGACATCATTGACCCCGCTCTGCTGAGGCCAGGGCGTCTTGACCAGCTGATCTACATTCCACTGCCTGATGAGCAGTCTAGGCTCCAGATCTTTAAGGCTTGCCTGAGGAAGTCCCCTGTGGCGAAGGATGTGGACTTGAATGCTCTTGCTAAGTACACGCAAGGGTTCAGTGGAGCAGATATCACAGAAATTTGCCAGCGTGCGTGCAAATATGCAATCAGAGAGAACATTGAGAAGGTAACTTCCTCTAAACGTTAGTTGGTACTCTACAAATAACTCTTCTGAATTGCAAGCTATTGTCATTCCTAATCTTGAACTAAACAGACAGCTTGTAAAAAGGTGCCATAAGTTAGTTTAATTTCCACCCCAATCCACCCCATCATGTGGATTGAGGTGGATACGAGTACAACCAAACAAGCCCTTGGGGTTGTCTGAAGTTACCACAAATTACTTTTTACCTGTTTGAATGTTTGGAATTACAAATAGATTTGTCTTGGCAGATACATTTTTAGTTCACAAATGTTTTAAATTAATAAATATATAACAAAATCTAGCAGTCAATTCATGATTTCAATATTTCAGTAGGAAGCAGAAGCAACAGTAATCATTCAGATTGCTACATGTACTCCTTCCAGTCACAAATAAGTTATCTACCATAGCTTGGGATGAACTTGGATCAGCAGACTCTAATGATCAGCTTAAAGTTTTTTCAGGATTAGAATGCTTTTTGGTTAATTTCTTTTATCTTGTCTTGAAGTATGAACTTTTTATCATAGGTTGAACTTCCTAGTTAAGCTTGGTTTCTCTGCTGTTTAGTTGCCCTATGTTTTTTCATCTGAATAAATCTCCCGGCAACATCTAATCTCGACAAATATGGTTTCAGGACATTGAGAGGGAAAGGCGGAGAAAGGACAACCCTGAGGCGATGGAAGAAGATGAAGTGGACGAGATTGCCGAGATCAAGGCGGCTCACTTCGAGGAGTCGATGAAGTATGCTCGGCGTAGTGTCAGTGATGCTGATATCCGCAAGTACCAGGCGTTTGCCCAGACATTGCAGCAGTCCCGTGGGTTCGGCAGTGAGTTCCGCTTCTCGGAGCAGTCGGCGACAGCTGGTGCTGCTGCAGCCGATCCGTTTGCCTCTGCCGGTGCTGCGGCTGATGATGACGATCTATACAGCTAGGTGTCCAGTTGGGTTGGTTCTGGGTTGTTCGATATCAGTCTCGTCAGTCGTCTGTTTAAAACTGATCATACTTTAGACACGGATGTCATGCAATGATATTTATTTTCCGTACATTTGGACGTCGCTGAGATAATGCCCTCTCGGCTTTTGATTATTTTTTCATGCCAATATTCTCCATGCATTTTCTGGGCCATGACATTTTATTAATGATTGTTGTGTGTATTGTATCACGAATCTTTCTTCTTTGATGGTGACGTGAGATCTATCTGTTAGTACGTAAGCGGAGTACTAGCTAGCTGCTGGATATGAATTAATCGACGCTTATATCTCATGAATTAGCAGCGCAAGGGAATAGTTGGTTTGCCCACTGCTATCCATTTCTCCCCAAGATCATCGGGTGGGCAAGATCGGTGATTTGAAGTTTTGAACTCGGTAACAAACTGGCAGGCGCTCAACTCGTCAGGCACGAGAAGCTGGAGGTTCTGCCGCGGCCCGCCCTCACGCCATTGCCGACGACCTGCAGGAGACGGGTCCATGCTAGCGCGATTAGTAGGGCAGCCTACCTCCAGGCCTCACGCAGCCTCCGCAGTGCGCCGGTCTCTCGGCCTGGAGCGTCTCCGCGGCGGCAACCACCGCACCGACTCCCACTCCCAATTCGACATCATCCGCATCAGCCGCTGCGGCTACTGCTCCCCGTCAGCACTCGGCACAACAGTCGGCCTTCCTCGGTGCTGTCGCCATGGATGTGGTCACCACGGCCGCGGATCAGCTCGCCAGCACGGTGGATTCGCTCACCGTCTCCACGGATTCCCTCTCCCGATCGTCGTCAACAGGTTGGGTTCGGCGATGACCAGACTCGACCGAGCGGAGGACTTGCCCGATACTTGCCGTGTTATTTTCCGGGCCTTGGTACTCGATTATTTTTTCACCAGTTTTGATTCAATCCGAGAGTAAATTTAGTGGCCTCAATGTCCATCCAAACAGCGTTTTTAGATATGGGTTGTAAAATTTTTAGGGCTTGTAATTTACAATTGTTTTGAGTCGAAAATTGGGCTTCCAAACAGGCTCTAATAGGTATATATAACAATAGTTGTGTTATATTCTATATTTATCTATACACCTAAAAAGACTCTAAAGTAATTATGTACCCGGTGATACAAAATCACGCATATCCGTATAACACCCGATCTACCCGTGCCTCAGAAGTCAGTCGAACCGCGCCAGAAGTCCGACGAAGTTCCGCACCATGCCACTGCCAGGCCTCCACGCCTTGTACCCCACTATCCTACTGGCCGCCGTGCGTATTGTGTTAAAATTCTTACCAAGCTAGGCATGTGTTTACATATAATCTCTTGTGTTAAGATTTTTTAATGGAAAAACATTGGTCGAGTGGTGCATGGATAGAACGAGCACGCTGACGCAGCAGCGCAGGTATGTGACCGAGTTATTCACACTTAGTGGTATTATTTTTTACCATTGCAACGCACGGCACATCCGCGTCCGATACGAATCGTACTACACTCGGAGCTTACATGTCCGCGTCCTACACGGTTATGATAGAAGACTGGATACACGTGTCCGCGTCCAATACTAAGTCCTTGAGCTCATGTGTATGTGTCCGATTAGTGATGTTCAATTCAAAAAATTATGACCCCAATGCAACACACGGGCAAATATCTAGCATAATATAAAAATTATAAGATTATATTAATAAAAAAATGTCATATCTTGGGGGGGGCATGGCCCCTGTCGCCCCCCTTGGCTCCACCACTCCTTTCATGGTAACTTGTCTTCTTGCTATTGCATTATGTAGAGCATGCTCCTTAGATATTATATTTTCAAGTGTCATCTCCACTTCCCTCATTGTAGGACGATTTTCTACAGTTATATCAGTACACATCACTGCTAGGGTAGATACCTCTTGGACTTCTCTAGTTTCTTAAATTTTTTTATTACCACAACTTCTAGGCCTAATCTCTTTGAATACAGCCCCATTACCTCCTCGACCAACCACTCGAGCCAAATCAAAATTGGTTGTAGCCTTCTCTATCTCGTTTAAGGTGATAAGCATACTTTCACATAAATCTGTAGCTTCTGCAATAGTATCTCATGATTTCGTTTGAAAAATTATGTTTCATCTTCTTCACTTTCCATTGCTTGATGTTATGAATTATAAATGGAAAACCAAGTCCTAAAGGCAAAAGAATTATGCCACCACAACTCGTAGCCAGATCCTTAAACCTAAAAACAAGCAGACAAGAGAATAAACGCCTTGTTTAACATTGTAGGAGTACTTGCAGGGGCGGATCTAGCGTCGGGGTGGGGGAGGGGGGCTCAAGCCCCCCTACCACCACCGATCCCATGGAGCCCCCTAGCCCCCAAGATTTGTCACCATGGATGCACTACGAAAGAAGGTATGAACTCTTTAAGGAGGGCTGAACTCTCATAAAGAATGCTATGATCGGTAGCCTTTGTTGGTAAATTCAGTCTGTTGCAGTCCAGGTTCAGAGTTTCAGTTAGCTAGCTTTCCTATTCTTGGCCAATAAATCAGAACCCGTTTTGGGTGCATCTTGTAACGCCAGAATCGTGCTTTGATCATGATGCAGCAAGTCACGTAGATGTCTTCTCCTTCTTTCTCGTTGAGTCATAGTAGAAGCTGGGCAAACCACTCGTTCGGTCGTGGGATGGCGCGACCTTGTAGGGAGGAGTGGCATGCATGGCGCTGGGTTTCTGTGGCTACGAGCCACTCTTTGTTTTGTATAAATTTGATGAATAGAGTCAGAAACACCGAGCTGTTGCAGCATCAATCTTCTTGTGTTTTGTCCACTGAGTTCGCGTGTGTTCTAGTTCATGTTCCACCGAGATCCGGTGTTGACGGTAGTTAATGTCAATCATAAACCGTCAATATACCCTGCATAAATGATTAAAATAGATCACCAACATAAGGTCTAGGGGTTTAAATTAACAAATTTCATGAGTTTTGGTGAATCTGTGACTGCAGGAGGATTTAATCAGAAAACCGTCAAGAAGGACCTATTTGTCAAAGAAAATCACGGTTATCTATGACGAAACTGACTTAAGAAGATTCCAGAATACTCCAGAAGGCAAACCACCGCAACTCAGACCGAGCCACTGACATGTGGGGCCGACCGGACTGTGGGACCCACCTGTCAGCCCGTCCTTCGAATGTTGGTTCTCCACCGCCTTAAAGATTAAATCTACGCTGTTGCTCAAGATCGGTTTGATCCGAGGATCCAAACTTGACGTTGCCCTCTATATATATGCCCATGTACCTCCTCCAGTAGAGCCATCCTGATATTCAGAAACCCTAAGCCACAATTCCTATCTTCATCATCAGGATCAGAGCCAGCAATCAAGAGAAGATTAGTCCTCCAAGATAGGATCTAGTCTTTTATAATTAGAAATAGTGAGATAGAGAGTGAGGGAAGAGTTTGGAGGAAGTTCCGGCCTATCGGTGCTCTCTCTATGGCTTGTACCTGGTGGAATCAAGTTCTACTTGAGCTTGCTTCTAAGATTTCTCTGGTAATCAACTTCTGATTCAAGTAAGTATCTTGTTTGCATTGTTCATCAGGTTTGTGACTCTTTTTGAGTACTTTAATCCTTGTCACTCTTGGGTTAGAGTAGTATTCATAGTGTAAATGTGGTACTTAGACTCGTTTACTCGTGGATGTACCCTACATTTTGGATCGATGGTAGATCGCATAGGTGACTATAAAGCCTTGTTGAGTCCTTTGTAGACCATCTCCCGTCTGTAGGCCGAGCAGGATCTGGTTATTATAGGAAAACATACTCTGCCTATGTTTCTCCTTAGTAATATCCCCATTTGAATAGTAGAAGACATAACTTACCGAAGTTAGAACTAGAAAACCTTAGTGATCCTCTCTACGCTCCTATTTATCTTAAGCCTTGTTGCTACTCTAGGTTAAGTTAGACTTAGTTAAATTCACACACGTTTCATTGAGTTCGATATTCTAGAATACTTTTCGGTGAAGTGCTACATTGGTATCCGTGCGCTTGCGGATTTATCTGTGTGCATTTAAATATACCAATAAGCATTTCTAGCGTCGTTGCCGGGGAAACGGTTACTGAGTTAACTTCGAACTTAGCTTAACCTTGTATCTTTTATCTTTTTATTCTTTTCTTTCCATTATGGAATTCACTCCTATCTATCAATACACTGCACCTACGAGCGCATGCCTAGAGCCACCAAAATCTTCAAAGCCTATCCTAACACCTAGCTATGAGCTGCGCCCGTGTTTAATTAACATGGTCCGGGAACAAATCCTTTTCGAGCAAAGATGATGAAAACCCTTACTTCCACCTACGTGAGTTTGAACAGACCTGCGCATGCTTGCACATTGTTGGCATGTCAGATAAAACCGTACGATGTAAGCGTTTTCCATTCTCTTTAATGGGAAGAGCTAAACATTGGTATAATCAAACCATAGGAAGTAGACAAGGAGATTGGGAAGCTTTATGCTCTAGCTTTTGCTTGAATTTCTTTCCCATCTCTAGAATAGTCAGCCTTCGTTCAGAGGTTCTATCTTTTACACAAAAAGAAAAAGAATCTCTTGGCACGTCATGGGAACGATTTAATGTTCTTGTTAATACTGGCCCTGACCTTACCAATCAAGACCCCATTCTTCTTCAACACTTTTATATGGGTTTTAATAGGGAAACCTCACAGTCTCTTGACATAGCTTCAGGAGGTTTGTTCTTGCATGTCTCTGCCAATCTGGGGAGAAGCATCCTTGATAAAGTTTTAGAGAACACCAGGAGTTCAACGTGCTACGGTTCAAGGACACGAAGTCGGTGGACGATTTTGGTGTCCGCATCACTGACTTGGCCAATCAGCTCGAGGTCCTCGATGCCAGCTACTCACCCTGGGCATTCGGTCAGACCAAACCGATCGGTTTGGTTCCTCGGTCATTCGGTCAGTTCGGTCATCAGAAACCTGGGACCGATCGGTCTCGGTCACG